AGACCACTGAGGGCCAAAGGAACATTAGGAAATTCAGCAGTAGATTTTCTTGCCTTTTGTAAATGAGTAATGTTTATTATGTACATGATCGTTTTGGAGTATTAGACTCACACTTGTATATGCTTGTATCACATTTAAAATTTATGTATAAATTATATTTAAAAACAAATAGAGTTTGCATAAATTCGGGTTTCATGTGATACTAGTCCTTGTCCGGACGAACTAACCATTACGTATGTCTCGGRTTGGYAAGCCTTGAGATRTACCWAATGGGGACGAACGCTTAGAAGTCTTGTCTAGGGAATTTGGATATGTTCCAGGAACCTCTGACCGGACACTTAAGTATTCGTCAGTAGCGTTTCCGGTCTATAAATGATCGGGGGCGTTACAGGTAGTGTCTGTTCGTGTGTGACACGGAGGTCACGTTCATGGTTGTTCCACCAGAGAAGACAGAAAAGTTCGGAGACTGGTGGTTCATGTCGCAAAGCTACAATTGCCATACCCAGAGCAGAGTGGTAGTGTCTGTAGAGCACACATGTTGTGTGCATCATTGTAAATCTAGAAAAGAGTGGTAAATATTATATATCAATTGTATGTGCAAACTTTTCTAGTCAATGAATTCTGGACAAGGTCCCGGGGATGTAGAGAAATCGAACCTCGTTAAAAAATGTCTTTGTCTCTTTTTCTTCACACTTGCATATATATCTCTATGCTTCTGTGTTACACAGTCGTTTAGGTCTAGCGATACCGCATGGACTTTCACATATGTCCCTTTATCCATTACGAAATGGTTCCGTACGGAATCAGTTAGTCTTCTCCTTCGGGAGATGTTGTCTACCTTTTAATGGGTTATGTATTTTCCCCTGGGGGATTGGTGTACCCGACCCGAATACATGTATGCCCAGACCTAAATAACACTTAAAATATTAAAAATATTGTCCCATACATATAATTATTTTATATGCATCAAAAATTAAAAACAACCAATAATATATGTATATATAAATATTTTTTTATAATGATAAAATTAGGTTATGAAATAATAAAATTTATTTATTTTTATAAAAAAAAATTCATATCTGCATAAAATAAATCTTAAATCTAAAAATTATAATAATACAAAATTTACTAAAAAAGAATTTATATTATAGATAACTAAACATGAAATTTTGAATACCGTACTAGGATATGTTCTCTTGTCTTTTTGCCCCATGAGGCCAACCATAAGATTTCAAAATTTGATTTAGGATTTGCGGATTTTTATAGCGGTCGCTAAATTTTGGCATTTTTACAAATTTAATATGGTTTCTAAAATTAATTATTTAAATAAAAAAATTGTAAATGTATGTTCTTTTTGAATTTTTTTTATTGTTTTTGAAATTTAAGATTTTTTGTATAAATAGGGGCAAATACAATAATGCCACCTTTTGTGTGCATATTTGTAAGAATGCCACTTAGGGGTGCCCATTTGCAAAAATACCACTAATTATAGATTTATTAAGTCTATATCTTAAAATTCTAAACCCTAAAAAATATTTTGACCCCTGAAACCCCATAAACCCTCATAACTAAATCCTAATAGAACATAATTAACCCAAACATAAATGATATAAAGAAAAAATAATTTTGAAAAAGTAGTATTTTTGTAAAAATTTCAAAAGTGTGGCATTTTTGTAAAGTGGCACTTGAAAAGTGGCATTTTTTGAAATTTCCCTTAATTTTTTGTTTTTGGATTTTTAAATGATTTGTTAAGAAAATAATTACAGATTGATCCCAAAATAAAAATAAAAATTATCAAAAACTCCAATATAGTTATTAACATATTTACATATAGTTACTGTATGTCACAATGTATTATATATTATTTTTTGTAGTTTAGAGAATATTTCAATACTTCGGATGGTTTGCAACATATTAGATAATAGTTGGTGTAGCTTAAAATAATTTTTGGGACAATTAAAAAAATTCCACTTTTGATGTACTATTTTGCAAAAATACCACATTGAGTTGCTCATTTGCTAAAATATCACAAATTATGGATTTTTAAAGCTTAATTCTTAAATTTCTAAACCCTCAAACATGTTTTGATCCCTAACAAATCCTAAACCCTCAAAACTATATCCTAATACAACATAGTTAACCGAAACATAAATAATATAATTAATAAATAATATTAAAAAGTGGTATTTTTTTGCAAAGATTTTGAAAATGTGCCATTTTTGAAAAGTGGCACTTCAAAAGTGGTTCTTAAAATTTCTCATGAATTTTCCT